AGATAGCGCCACTGCACTCCAGCCTGGGTGACAGAGTGAGACTCCCTCTCAAAATAAATCAATGAATGAAAACAAAACAAAAACCCCCAAACATCCCATGGGACTGTAGAACCCTCCAGGGTCTCCCATGGGCTGAGCACCTCAGAGCCCAGAAGCTGGCAGCTCACAGTCGTGGGTTCCAACCCAGCTCCCTGGTCGCCTCTGGGCAGGCCCCTTAACCTCTCTGAGCCTCAGTCTGCTCCTCTGTAAAACGAGTGGTGCCAAGCAAATGATTCCTAAATAAAAGACAAGGACAGGGCTGTGCCCTCCACCCTTCACCGCCACGATGCCCCCAGACTCACCCAGCGTGATGGGCTTGCTGTCCTCCTGGTCAGAGCCCATCCCCGCCCGGGGACTGCCGCTCTGCTCTGCATCTGCAAAGAGAGGGAAGAAACATTGGTGACGTCACAGAGACCCCACCCCAGGAACAGATGAGGTGTTGGCGCCGGTGCCCCAGTCCTGGGCTGGGCCAGTGCTGTGGAGACAGATAGTGGCCCCGAAAAACGCCCAGGCCCTGGGGTCTCTGCTTGGGCCCTTCCCTTAGCTGCTGCCCTAGAGGGTCACGGACATCTGGCCAGGCACCTTGCAGACACCAGCTAGGCCCCTGTGAGCGCCAGTGTACCTGTATGCTGGGGTAAGCCCTCCGCTTCTGCAGGGGTGGCTCAGTCACGGATAAGAAATTAGACACCAGGAGTCTTAACAGACCGACGTTCAAATCCCCGCCCTGCTGCTTTCTTGCTGTGTGACCCTGAGCAAGTCACTTGCCCTCTCTGAGCCTCATCTGTAAAATGAAGTTCAGGCCAGGCATGGTGGCTCACGCCTGTATTCCCAGCACTTTGGGAGGCCAAGGGAGGCGGATCACCTGAGGTCAGGGTCAGGAGTTTGAGACCAGACTGGCCAACATGGTGAAACTCCATCTCTACTAAAAGTGCAAAAACTAGCCAGGTGTGGTGACACGGACCTGTAATCCCAGTTACTCGGGAGGCTGAGGCAGGAGAATCACTTTAACCTCGGAGGCGGAGGTTGCAGTGAGCCAAGATTGCACCACTGCACTCCAGTCTGGGGGACTGGAGTTGGAGGCCAGCCTGGGCAACATAGCAAGACCCCATCTCAGAAAATAAAATTAAACAAACAAACAAACAAAAAACCAAAACGGCCAGGCACAGTGGCTCACACCTGTAATCCCAACACTTTGGAAGGCCAAGGCAGCCAGACTCCTTGAGGTTAGGAGTTGAAGACCAGCCTGGCCAACATGGCGAAACCCCGTCTCTACTAAAAATACAAAAATTAGCCGGGCGTGGTGGCACGGTCTTGTAATCCCAGCTACTAGGGAGGCTGAGTTAGGAGAATCAC